CTCTGGCACCACCCCTGGCCGTTTCTCGGCATCGACATGGCCATCCCAGACAGGTCGTGTCTGGGCACCGTTTTTTCGTTGGTGGATCCCAGTTGCCACGATGGTCAGTCAGATTTCGGTCCAACCTAAGTACTGGTCGCCTAGGAACGCGATCCACCGGGGTGGTGGGTTAAGAGGGGACTTCAAGTGTTGATTCAGGAAACTGTTCATGTGACCATGCCTCACGTGGACACGAAACAGGCATAGAATCAAGCCACAGGTTGTTTCCCAGTTGATCCACGAAACTCGAAACCTATCTGGATGTAGAAAAACCTCCCCAGAAGGTGGACCTGGAGGAAGTAACCACCTATTGGCCATGATGTTGGAGCATTCAGGACGTGTTCTGAGCTTCGCTGGAGCAACCCAAAGAGTGGGGACCTGTTTGGGTGTGACCCCAAGCATCAATAGGCATCCTCTTAGTGCATTTAGTGTAGACTCTTGATTGAGCACCCCCTCATTTGGATTGTAAACATCTCTTCAGGCTTGTTTTTCAACATCAAAAGTCTACATGATCTTGGGCATGTTTCATTACAAAGCAAAGTCCTGCAACCTCCTCCTGCGCATCGTCGATCCCAGCGGAGGGACTCGCCGCCATGGGAAACATGTTCGGACTGGGTCCAGTCCCCAGAGTCTTCGGGGACTGCTGGAGGAGGTGAAATTGAGGAGGCACCTGGAGAGAGGAAGCAGCACCTGGGGGTTCGAATTCCTTACGTGCCAAAGCCAGAAGTGGGGGTTTCTATTCGTGAATCATCCTGCAGATAGATATATATATATATAGTTATAGGGTGCTTCGAGAGAGAGAGAGAGAGAGAATCACAGGTGATTTTGAGTCTGCACCACTTGCGGAGAAGTATGTCTTAGCAAAGACATCCAGGTTGAATTCGATGACGTTCGGCGACTTTTGGCACTTTTAGGATCAGGATTCGATGGTCTTCGAGCGCAGAGGTGCTTCGACTGGTCAGTCGGACGTTGTGGGACTGGCTTTCAGAAAGCTGATCTGTAAGCATCCAAGGGTTCCACCAAGACGACAGCACACCATTTTGGGCAGAGAATGCCATGTTCTTTGATTTGTGTCTTTTGCCAAGTTCATGTCTTGGGGCCTTGGGGTAGCCAGATCTTGTAGTGCCGGTCCGCACATGATCTTCGGTGCTCCCTTTTTTTTTCTCAGGGTGCTTCGTGCCGATGGGGGCCGATGGGGGCCGGTGAAGTACATGTTCTTCCAGGATATCTCATGGTTCTGATTGCTGCTGCTTCGAAATCATGGACATGGCAGATCGCCTTGCCCGCCTCGATGGGCGAAGCGCGTGCGGAGCCATCCGTCATCGCGTGCGGGAAGCCGCGAAGAAGCCCCCCGATGTGGTACGTGGGAGCCCCCCTCCCAAGTACCACTACTCTCGGGCGTCGCCACGGCACGGGGGGATTCGAGGTCACCCCAAGGGACCGGAAGGACCATCTGACCGGACTGCTTCCCCACGGCTCCACGGAGCACGGTGCGCCGTAGCTCGCACTGCATGGCAGAGTTGCCAACGAGGCAAGACGAAGACCACCGCCAATGGTGAGAATCCCGTGGAGGACATGAAGATGGGTCGAGTGGAGCGAGCTTGTGGGACAGTCGTCTTCGTGGGCCAGGACATCCAGGGTCTGGAAGAAAGAACACTGGATCAAAGCGAGCTCCAAATCCTGGTGACATCCCGAATCAACCAGGGTTCATCTGGGTTCATTTTCGGTGGTCAACCAGGGTGTTTTGGGAGTTTTGACCCACAGCCAGGGTTGAGTCAAATCCGACTCCGAAGGGTTCATCTGCTGAGGTTGTTTGCCCCGGGTTGTATTTGGTCGCCCATGGCAAGTGGAAGAGTGAGGAAACTGCAAGGTCCGCCGAGTCGGCACATGATCTTTCAGCAAAGCAGGCCACATCTTCCAAGAGTACCTCGCTCTCGGCGGAAAACCAGACATCTTGTGCATTTATGGGTTTGCAACATCCACCAGAAAGACCATCCACCATCCACCACTCTCCCCACTGTGGTCACCCACCTTCCGGTTCACGCACCCTCTCCCCAAACGTCACGCCCGCTGCCGGTCACACCCGCGCCTCACCAACACACCGCCTGTCACACCGCCTGGTTCTGGACACCGACACACCCTCTTGGAGGCCGCCAAGGCGTCGATGAAGAGGGCCGAAGACTCGATGATGAGCATCTTCCAGGATGCGCTCGTCGGACGAGAGGGGGGACGGTCTTGGATTGGGTGGGAGAACGACTCATATGAAAGGCTGTCGCGGAGGTCTGACGCAGGTGTCCTAGAAAGACATCATGTTCAGCTTTCATCACTGGATGAGTCATCTCTCTTAGGAAAAAAGATATGGTGTCCTCAAAAAGAAGGGTTGAGGTTCTGCGGAGCGGTGCATCGAAGGGATGTGTCGCTTGTTGTGATCGGGGCGAAAGGCAAGGCTGCAAGAGAGGAATCGTCACCAGAAATGCCTTTTTTTCTTTGACTATGTGTTCCAATGGTTGACCTGAGTTTTGTAGTGTAAAACCCTTAGTAGAAGGATGAACCCATGAAATCAATGGCGGTTGGACTTCTTTGGATCAGTTTGCCTGAAGATAGAGAGGTTGGAGGTTGGAAGCCAACCATGCTATTAGAGATTCCCAAACCTCAACCTCAACCAACCATGAGATTTTCACCGGGACCACTTGGAAAAAAACACTTGGGCCCTCGCCGTAAGAGCCGGCTGGAGGTTGGAGGTGAAGATCAGTTTGGCATTGATCAGTTTTGCGGTTGACCTGCAGGTGGTGGTCGGGGCCGGAGGTGGCCAGATCTTCCCCAACATCTCAGTCGACCAATCGAGTCGATCTTGTTCGCAGGATCTGAAGAAGAAGAGCCTGGAGCTCAGACCCAGGTCGACCCACAAGAAGTCGATTTGCCACCCACGCTTGGTCAGTGGAACCGTTGTTGTCACGGTTGTTCTTCACACGTCACATGACGGGTGTAAGACTCTGGAGGTTCCCTGTCGCCTCAGGAGAGTTGGTGACCTATGTTGGGTTAGCTTACTCAGGTCGCCTACCACATGAACACTTCATTCCCAGACCAGTGGTGTGTTCATCCAAGCGACTCACAGCTGTAGCATCCCGCCACAATCCCTATCATGTTACTGATAGTGGATTGAGAGTAGATGGCACAAAAGGAGGTTTATATGGACCTCCATCAATCTTGGGGTGCCAGTGCCATCTAATTACAGTGGTTTCAGAGTAGATGGCACAAACCCCTATATGTCTTTTAGATGGGGGTCCATATAAACCACCTTTTGGGGATTGTGCCATCTGCTCTCAATCCACTATATTCTGGAAACCACTGTACATTGGGGATTTGGGCCCTCCTTCAGCTGAGATGATTGCATTTCATGGACCGATGGTTGGAATTGTCACTAGAACAGTTTCAATCCTCATAGATTGCATTTTGCTGTTGGTTGGTTGATCAATAGAGGGGATACCCCAAAGACCCCCGAAGTGAACAACCAGCATGTATATGGTACTAACTCCCCCATTGTTCCCAAAAGGACATTATTGTATATAGTACTCTTTCAATCATGATTCTTGACCAGATTGTTTGGCACTTGTCTATCCAACTTAGACGCTATAGAATCAACCCAGCAAACTCATACGAGTTGCTGTCTGTAGTTGCTCAGGCTCATGTCGGCCCCCAAGGGGGGTTTGGATGGTATGTCTGAGTCATAGCCATCGACAGACTTCTGGAAACATGCTTGGCGAGAGTCAGGATCTTTTGCAGGATTATTATATACATATGATTACTATCAGTATCTATTCTCTTTTTTTATCAGTTGGCACACTCTTGCAGTTTGTCAGGTGCAAGTTCGCCTCAGGCAGCACAGGCGGGCTGGAACAGAGCTGGAGCCAATTGGTGGACAGTGGATGATAGTGGATCGAGCAGCCAACAACCCTTCCCCTACACCTCCAGTCGTACCTCCTCAGAAGATATGACTGGACCCTCCTGGCACCCACCCCAAACACCTTCTGAGGAGGTACTTGGAGGTGTAGGGTTCTGGAACCACTGGAACCCAAAGTTTGGACTGCTCTTCCACGTCCATGGCCATTTTTGGTGCCTTTTCGGAGTCCTTTTGGGTGTGCAGACGCTCCCAGATGCTCCCCGTCTACGGTGTACGGTCCCAGTCTTCACTTGTGGGACGGTCCCAATCTTCAGACCCCATGTCGACGGTTGGATGAATAAAGCCCCCCCCCCTCTGGATCCAGAAGGGTTCGACCTTTTCAGGCCCCTGTTTTGCTTCATCCACCCATTCGGCTTCCCCTGCGGGGATTCGAAAACCTTGCTGCCCTGGTGGGACCTGTGTGGGGCCCAGTGGCTATGGGGTTCGGGACCAGGGGCTTGAGCTGATGAGCTGATCCCAGTTCGGGTGAACCAGTCTGAAGCGGTGAGGGTCGAGGTCTCGACCTATTGGGCTGACAGGGCCTGCAACGATGGAGGCGACCGAACACATGTATGTGGTCGGTGGTCAGGGTGGTGTATCCATGCCCAGACACGACCTGTCTGGGACTGCCATAGATGTCGATCAGTTGGGGTGGGGCGGCAGTCCTATGGCAGTCCCAGACAGGTCGTGGGCATGGTGTTTTGAGCCGTGCTTCGGACGTCTCAAAACAGGTCAAAGCCAGCTTGGTGTCTCAGCTTTGGATGTCATCCTTCGCCATTCCGCCAGTCAGCCGCAGCTGATACAGAGATAGACACTGCCTCATGGTCAACAACACGAATTGCTGCGAGAGGAACCAGAACTCTCTATCCTCCAGGGAGAGCGTGGAGCAGATTCTCACCCCTGTGACAGTCTTTCACACTGCCGTAGGATGGAAGGGCCTGTAGACGCGTCACCCGAGCAGTAGAACGACACTCAGCGTCTGTAGACGTCTCGCACGCCTGGCGTGGACGCAGCACGGCCTATGCAACCTGAAGCTGGGCGCCATGGGACTGGTAGCCGGAAGGGCCGCAAATCGGGCAAGAAGGGGGCTGGTGAGAGCAAAGGAGATGGTGGCAAAGGGCTTGGAGAGAATGTCAAGCCGGGTGGCAAAGGGAGCAGGGAGAAGAAGGACAAGACACAGGGAGGTGGCAAAGAGGGTGGGGAGATCAGGGGTGATGTCGAAGGGCGAGATGCTGAGGGCTTCGAATCCCAACAGCAGCAGAGCATTGCTTCAGAAAGTTTTGGCCTTCGTTTTTGCAAGGTTTTGGTCCCTGGGATCCGTGGCACACCATTATGGTCTTGTATGGACCAAACAACCATTCTTTTGCCAAGGATTTTGGACTACAGTCTGCCAGGTTCACCGAACCTTCCGAATGGGACACAAACTGGCTCGCCCTCGGGCCGACTTTCAGCCCCCGAGTTTCCCGATCCGCCGAAGGCACCGAATCAGAATACGTAACAAATACAAAAAGGGACACAAACAAACCAGCTTCTTCAGTTCGTGACCTTTTGAAGGTTCACTTTTCAGTGACCCAAACAGGAGGCTTGTTTGTGACCGAACCAACCAGGTTATCAAGTTAGGTCACGAACTGAAGAACACACTTACAAGGCTTAAGTGACCGAACCAACCAGGTTATCAAGTTAGGTCACGAACCGAAGAACACCCTTACAAGGCTTAAGTGACAACCAGGTTATCAAGTTAGGTCACGAACTGAAGAACACCCTTACAAGGCTTAAGTGACCGAACCAACCAGGT